ATTTTGTTTTAATAGGGGGGTTGGACTATACCATCTTTTGTAAAATAAGGGGAGCCATACTAAGTGTTCCGTTCCGTTCTTGCTCTTGTGACTCATCTCAGCAGTAAGTTAAACAAGCCACAAGGTGGTAGAGAAGGGCGGGAAGCGCTTTTTCCTTCCCGAGCGAGAAGACCTAGAAGCTGACCTACTTCTCGCCGGGACCGGTTCCGGTCCCGAGAAATGAACTCGTCTCGTGTCCCGAGAAGTGCTTCTCGTCTCGTGACCAATTTCTCTTCTCGCCCAGTAAGTACGGGCTACTCGGTTAGCGAGAAGGCCGGTCGTAGTGGGGATCTAAACTTGGCTAGCCCTGTTACGCAGGCGCAGGTGGTGAAGGAAGGTAAGGAGATCTAGGCCTAATTAAGCCATTATCAACTCCCCACTCGCCTCGTCTCGCCACTCTCTCCCCTCCTTTTCAGCTTCACACATAGGACGGCACGATGATGGGTGGCACTGTCTGCGTGCCATTTCTCTCCTCTCACTCTCTCACTCTCGTTACTGTTACTCGTTATGTCAAGCCAACGAGCAGTATCACTTCTCGGTACCGAGCAGTAGTTTAGTGCCCGGACAGCGACGGGAAGGGCATTTCTCGCGAGAAACGAGTACTCGGCTAGTCTCGTGCCCGCCCCCACGAGGTGGTGACAGCGACAGGGGAGTGAATCGGGAATTGTTCGGCAAGAGTGGTGATTCAGTTTCGTTCTTGCGCTCGCGACCCAACTCTAATGCTCGGACTTCAACAGACACTTTTTGGCCATCTTGTAGAGTAGGATCTTTGATAGTGCTACGGTATAAAAGTTCCAATTCGTTTTTACATAAGCCAACGGTTACGAATTACTTTATATATTCATTAAATGTTCACTTTTCTTAGAATTTATCTTTGAAAAAAAAATGTTAGTGCCTCGTCATGTTCGGAAATCACGGTTGTCCTGAATACTGAAGCGATTCGAATTGACCAGATTATGACCGTTAACTGACTAGGTGTTCGACTTTTCGGAAGTATTTATGGACTCGCCAGAAGTAATCCCTTCTCTCCGGAAGTAATCAGGTAATCATTAGGGGTTCAGAACCACCGAGAAAAATGCAAGGACTCACTGAAAGAAATCACTTCAGTAGTCAATAATTGGGGTCGGCGTCGGTTCCTACAATTTCTAACATTCAAGAATCGGGAATCTGCAGTTACATGTAGCCTACTGGGGG